TTTCGTAAAACGGTTAGGGCCGGGTTCCTAGATTACTATCACGTCGTACTCGGCGTGGTACCGGAGCAGTAGCTCTTACCGCGCCTAACTCCTCCTTATATTCTATAAAAGGATATAGATTTTTAGTAATTAAAAGGGGGGGGGGCTAAGATAATATACCCGGTATAACCGGGGTCTGGCTCTAGGGTTCCTATTATAATACCTTACCGGCCCCGCGGGGGACTATATAGGCGCTTATCGGGCCTAGTATCGGGGAGCCCTCCTCTCCCCTAGTTCTTTTAGGGGCTAACTCCTGCCTTTACGGAGGGGTTAGTCTTAGTTCTAGGCGATAATAATCGGGGGGAAGATCTAGGGTTACCGCGGGTATACCGCTTCGGTCTAATAGGTAATATTAAAGTCTTTAGCTTAGTACTTATACGCTTTACGGGTTTTCTTAGCCTTTTTTTTTAGTAGTCGGTATATATTATTAAAGATGTTATAGTCTCCGGTATAGGCGGCGTAATGGCGGGGGCGCCCCGGCGCTATAGCTTCGTAGTATCCTAGGCCTCAAGGGTACGCCGATTTAGGCTTAGCGTAGTAACGGTATACCCTCTCCGTTATAGGGTAGCCGTTCGCCTAATATCCAAAGTGTAGGTATTTATAGCACCTTAGGAGACTAAGGTCGGGGTCGTGTAGTTTATAGATATAGCTACCCCCCTTACAGAGGAGGGTATTCCGTATAAGGCTTATTACCCTTTCCGGCGAAGCCGATTTAATAAAGAGGAGTATTACCCTACTAATACCACGGCGGGGTACTTATTATCGTGCTCGGATAATTTTTACCTTAGAGTATATATCTTATAAGGATACTAGTAGGTCTTCTTCGGATAGGGCGTTAAGGACCTCCTAAGGGATAGCCTTAGCTAGCGTAGGGTAAGTATATACGGCTAGGGTAGCTCTTTTACTAAAGGCCTTCTTAATCTATTATTCTTTATAGGTAGCCTACTACTATACCCTTTTAGTAAAGGTAAGGTAGATATCTTTACTCAGTAGCTTTTATACCGCTACGGTATCGTATCGGGTGGTTATAGCGTTTATGGCTTAGATAATCTCCTTTAGGGTCCTATCTTTAAGGGGCTAATCTTCGGGGAGGGTTCCTTAGCGGATAATTAGTTCCTAGTAGTGCTTAGCGGGGATTACTTTAAGGGGGGCGGGGTCCTATAGTAGTGCCGCTATAGGAGCCTAGGCTATAATATTAGCCTAAGTCTTTTTCGTGCTACTCGTCCCTTTTCGGAGTTCCTCTTCTATAACGTACCGAATAGTAGCGTGTAGGTATACTAACGGTATCGCGCCGGCGTCCTTATAGGTAGTACGTATCGTAATTAATTCCTTTACTAGCTCTATAACCTACTTAATTATATTCCTGTTAATTAATAGAGCCTGAATTTCTGCCTTAATCTTAGTTACTCTCGGTTCCGGGGGGCGTGGTGGTCCCCTTTCGGTCTTATATCGGTTCCGCGCTACGTCCCGCCACGGGCGAAAGGGGGGGGGGGGGGGAGCGCTCGTGTTATAAAGAGTAGTCCTATTACGAATTCTGCGTGGACGAAATCGGGACGATAGGGGCGGGATTATCCTATATCTTTTCCGGTTACACCGTAGCGCCGGTATTACGGTGCCGCTACGATAATATCCCGGGAGAGAGGCGGTGGTTATAATCTCTATCTTAGTGGTTTTATCAATTTTACTCCTATTACGCGCCCGTGGCTAATAGGCGTGGCCGAGGAACGATCGAACTATAATTCTATAGAACTTAGTAGTATTATAAGAGGAAGAGGGCGGACTAAGATATAAATCCTTAGGGGATTTTAACTATCTAATTCTTATAATAGGGTAAGGCCCTATCCCCCTTACCTACTGCTGGATATAGTAGGAACTCACCTAGGGGAGGCGGGAGGCGCTTACCTCCCCTACTCTTTTTAATAACCGAATAGAAGTTATAAAAGGCATAATCCTTAAAGGATATAGGGAGACCGAGGCTAAAAAGCCATAGCCGCTATAGAGCAGAAGCGCGGTAACGCCCCCTTAGCCCCCCGCTCCACCTATAAAGATTAGCTTAGGCTAACTTACCTAACCACTAGCCTACTATATTTCCTGTTAGCTACTAGCCTAAAGGTAAGAATCAGATACGTAACAGGGAAGAACCGGGGCTATATCGGCCCTATAGCGGCACCTCTCTACCAAAGGAAGTGTATAAAGGTTTTCCCCGGGTTTTACCCGGGTTTTCCCCTTTATAGCCACCCGAGAAGGACCGTATAGCCTAGGAAGGCTCCTATAGATTAGTCTGGATAGCGGAGTAAGATTGATATTATTATTAATAATAATAATAATAATTACGGGCGGTTTAATAAAGGTATTACCGGGGGCGGAGATTAAAAGACTGTAATAATAGCTTAATTTAACGGATTAAAAGGATCGTATCGAGTAGTTAAAGTAACTGCACGAAGAGATCGCACGCGTTAAAGCCGTAGCGATAATAAAGGCCCCTAAGGGCATAATAGATCCAATAGATATAGATCCGATAAAGTAGATCCAGCTAATTAGGATCGAGGACCTAATTAAGATAGAATTAAATTAAACGGTTAAATGGGGCGGATTTAGATCCCTCTTACAAGGGCCTTTTCTCTTAACTATTAATTTTACGATAAAAGAGTTAAGAACTTTTAGTTTACACTGAAGCCTTTAATTAGTTAGTTAACCTATGAAGACTCACCTTAACTAAGGGGGTATATCGTATAGGTACACGGACTATAATATAGTCCTTACGCGATCTATGCCTAACTAAGGGCTTCGGATCTCGGGGACCTCGGGTATTAGGATATAATATAGGCAGATACTAGAAAAGACCGGACAGGATCTAAATAATATAGTACCTATAACAGAGTCTTCACTACCTAAATTGAAGGCATAAGAGACTTATATAAATATAGCTTAACATAATACACACACACGAGACTTTTGCTCTATTAAGGTTTTTGGAGATCTTTGAAGATATCGGACAAGCGGAAGGAACGAAAGTCAGGAAAAGCAGTAGAAAAATATGAAGGTACTAATGGAACTATAAGGTAGGATCTCTACGCGCGTATGACATGAATTCTTTGGATCGAAAAAGCGATTAAGATTAAGAATAAAGAATAAAGAAAGGAAAGAACCGAACTAAGGGAACAGGTTGATATCCTTTATTCTTTATAAATGAATTGATATCGTAATAGTATCGTAATACGGATCGATATCGTAGTAATATCGTAATCCTTTTTCTGACTCGAACTAGATCCTTTATTTAACTGACTCGAAAAGAACGGTCTAGGCTTACGGGGAAGATATTCTTTATTTTAGTACGACGGATATACTAGAAGGATATTATTAGTAATAATATTAATATCAACACCCCCCTATAAGCTAGTTTATATATAGAAGGAGTAGCTTAAAACGAGTATATATATTATAGAGTTATAGGGTAGAAACCCGAGTTGACTAACTAGGACTAATTATAAGAGGAAAAATATTACTATTATTATTATTATTATTATTATTATTATTATTATTATTATTTATTACTCTGCTCTTGTTTAGCTAAGCTAGGCTAGCCACCTAGGTAATAGTCCTTCTCTAATTTTCGAGGGGAAACCGTTAATAGATAAAAACCCCCGCGCTTTTATTATATAAGGAAGTTCCTTCATGCGTAGCCGCTACGGTATCGCTCCGCGGCCCTATTTTTATCGCTATTCGAAAACCAGATCTTACCTCCGGGCTAATAGCTAATAGGGGTCGACTAGTTAGTTTAGTAGGTACCTTATCGGGTTATACGCGCCCTCGGTATATTACCGCTATAGCTACTCACCGCTATCCTTTCCTTTATTCCGGATCTGGCGAGGTTATTATCCCCTCGCCGCGGTACCCTTTATACCCTCCCTCCCTTCTATAGGGGCGGGGGCGCTCCTACCCCCCCCTTACTCCGTCCTTTATTTATTATTTATTCCTAAACCTCCTTTATATACCTGCTATTTATAGTAGCCCTTATATAGTTATATACCCCCCTTTCTCGCAATATATAGGCTCTACGGGGTAGGTGTTATAGTATAGCCCGGGCGTGACTACTATTTACTAGAAGGCCTAGGAACTTATAGAGCTAATCTACTACTCTATTTTCTTATAAACCTCCCTTTTTTCCTCTCTTCTTTCCTCTTTTCCTTTTTTCTTTCTTTAAGCTATTATTTTTAAGGTATGTTTCGCGTAGTCGGTACGGTATAAGTACGGCCCTAGAATTCCCGTGTACGGAATCCCCCGGTACTATTCGGTTATAGTATAGGGGATTCTACGGGGTCCCGGGTTATACTGTCCTCGCGCCGCCCCCGCTCCGCCCCTATAACGCCCGCCTTAGTCTAACTCTTGTACCCTTTTAGATACCTAACACTAAGTCCTCTGTCGCTAAAGGGGGAGCCGGTTCTAACGCCTATAAAGGTAAAGGACTAACTACTCCTTAGCTCTTAATTATAAGCCCCCCTTGCCTTTACCGTACCGCCGGCTTTACGCCTTTACTTTATATTCTAACCCGGTATAGTCCGAGCCTACCCTATATTTATCGCCTTATACCTTATATATTATATCGTTAGCCCGGGGTATATTAAATAGGCCGTGAGATACGGTTATATAACGGGCCGGATTTAACCAAGATTATAATCTTAGTAATTAGGGTAGGCCCCTATAGAATCTTCACTATAGAAATTACGGTGGTAGGAGTTTCTAAATCGTCGACGATTTTAGACAATTACAGTTACACACACAAATCTACAGATTAATAAGCCTTAATTAAATTAACAGATTAACTGCCCTATTACTATTCTTCTATATTTTTATTACGATTATGCTATATCTAATAAAGGCAGGTTATAGAAAGTAAGGCAGGTCGGAAATACTATAGATAGATACAATATATAGTCTTACGATTATATACTATAGTTCTTCGAGAATAGTTATTTTCTAGACTAGATTTAATCCTTTTCTAGCACTCTGATATAGAAATATAGGGCGTAGGAATTGCCCCTATTTTTTACTACCTCTCGAGCTATCTATACTGTCTCTCTAGACAGTCATCAAAAGATAGACCCCGGCTATGATTATAATAATGATAATATAGGGAAGCGAAAGGAGAAATGTAGGTAAGTACCTTATACACGCAGTAGTTAATCCCCTAATAAAGAGTGCTCCGTAGCGGCGTCCCCTCATTGCAGTAACTTACCCGTTCCAGAAAAGAGGGGGACACCGGCACGCACGCGTTTCCTGTTGGTGTTTATTTCGGAACAGCGCGAGGCTGTCGACTCTCCTGACGTCTTAGAGCCGTCTCTCCGACCCACGCATCCTCAAAGAGAGTCGGCCGTTGACATATATCCCCGGGCTGAAGGGCAAGCCTGCGAACAACGTGAAATGCCCCCGTTCCAACAGTCATAGTCTGTCCCATAATGATGCACTCGCTGACGCCCTCGATTCTGTCTGTCTTCATTCCGGCGGCGGCATCGAAGAGATGGTCCGGCGTCTTCTCGAATGAAGCCAGTTGCAGAACGCTGTCTCTCATTTTAGACAGACCAAAGCGAGTAATGCCCAGAACTTCTCCCTTATATGTCATGACATCAGCAAGTAACTGCATGTGGCGCGGGTCGATGTCCATGTCTCCCATAACCACGCCGATTTCGTGAGCAATGGTCGTTCTCGCTGCCTCAATACCGAGAACATCCCGCATCTCCATCACATTGTTCGTCGTAGTCCTCTTTCCGTCCACGCCTTCCGTATTCATACAAGCAAGGAGGCCATACCCCTCTACAAGAACGGTATAAGTGCCTTCATTGGACGATTCAATGACGGCTCGATTGGAATTCGGGTATCCTGAGATGGCCACCGTGGGGACATGCCTCCTGAGGAAATTGGCGCGAACGAGCAAATCTGCCTGGTCTTCCGCCTTGGTCTTTATCGAGCGCTTCGCCGCGGCACTGTCATCAATGCGAACTCTGATTTCAATCCTGCCGGGACCAACATGAAGATCCCCTCGTTGGACTTTCAGCTTCCTGTGCCTGCAGATGGCTTCCGCAACGTCATGCATACCGATGCCCAATTGCATATCTGCCAGCGCATCCATATCAACCCGAAGGACGATATGGCCGGCACTGGCGAGCCATTCGTCTTCGATGTAGCTCAGGATATCAGCAACATACGTTTTCTCGATGCGAGCCTTGACGACACGGGCAGCCGTCAACTCTCGGTTCTGAACAAGAGGGCAGGTAATGACGGGTGTGCTGATAACTTTGGAGGCGTTGATGATCTCCTTGATGCGAGGCACGCCCTGCGTGATGCTCATACCAGCAACTCCAGCGAAGTGGAAAGTCTTCAGAGTCATTTGAGTTCCGGGCTCTCCAATGGACTGGGCCCCGACAGCACCAACTGCGTGACCGGGTTCCACGTGCGCCTTCTTATATTTCTCGAGGCAAAGTCGGACAAAAAGCTTCAAGGTAGTCTCGGATACTTTGGCGACACGATCTGCGTAGGCTCTCTTCGCTCTCCAGTCCTCGTCGTTTGACACGCTGTCAATGTTTGTGTCGAGGGATGTCAAATTCAGACCAGTGAGCTGGAAGATCCTTGATAGTTTGTTTGCTCGACTCGCGACGTAGTCCTGGATGGATTGTAAGAAGCCCCTCGCGCCTTCGTGTTCATCGGTGAATTTGTCCTCTCCATTGTGGTACTCGAGAAAGCCATCCCCGAGCAAATCTCTCCTTGGATACCGTGCACGCTCCTGTGCGAGCATTGAATCACAGAGACTCATTATCTCGTCGGGCAACAAGGCAGCCTCGTCATTATTCCAAGTTAGGTTCTCAGCATGGGACCACGTCCGTTCAAAGTGGACGGGTTTTGCAGAACCTTCCATGTCCACTGGATCTAGCTTGTCCGCGCCAAACTGGAACTGAACGATGCCGCCCCCTGATGTTCGAACCGTGTCATCGTATCGAGTAGAAAGATCCTCCAGCGACTTCATCAGTCTGCGAGACATGTACCCTGTCTCGGCAGTTTTGACGGCTGTGTCAACCAAGCCTTCGCGTCCCGACATGGCATGGAACAAAAATTCAGTTGGGATCAGGCCTGAATAGAAACTGTTGCCCACAAAACCTTTGGACGGAGGTTGGCGGGCATTTTTGTGAAAATGGGGAAGCGTCCTGTCCTGGAAGCCGTCGGCGACTCGCGATCCGCCGATAATTTGCTGCCCTACGACTGCCACCATTTGAGCCACGTTGATCTCTGAGCCTTTGGACCCGGATTTGGCCATGATCAAAGGTGCATTGTTTCTGCTGAGCGTCTGTATGCAGTGCGATCCAGCCTGCGTACGGACCTTGCTCAAGAGGCCAGATATGGAGTTTTCTAGCGTCTGCTCAAGATCGCACCCAGTGGCCTTCTCAAGTTTGCCTTGTTTGTATGTGCCAATAAGCTCATCCACTTGCTTGTTCGCGTCCTTGACCAGGCGTTTCTTTTTCTCCAAGAGGGCTTCTGTGGGGAACACGTCGCCGACACCGATAGAGAAACCGCGGTTAGTTAGGTGTCGAGCGCATAACTTCGCGAGGCGATTCATGGCGACAACAGCCTCGTCGGGGCCAAAGTCTCGAAGGATAACATAGAAGACAGAATCTTTCTTTCCCCCACCAACTGTCGACTTGTCCATCCGGCCGCACATGACTTCTGAGTTCCGGATCACAAGCCAACCATCATTCGGGTCCATGTCAGGACATTGTCCCGGCTTGGCCTTGTATTCTCTGCATTTCGCATCAAGGTTGATTTTAACATTGCAATCTTTGTTCGGTCGTAGCATCATGCTAAAGACTTGTTTTCCCGTCCATAGTGCGCAGGGTTTGAGGATTGCCGGGGGCGGGAGATCTAGATGGGTCAGGCCATCCATCATGTGCATGACGATGTAAGTGAACGTTTTCCGATCGAAGAACCGGTCCTTGCTGCTCAACAAGTAAGCAGCAGTGATGAAATCCTGCGTAGCGGCAATGATGGGCTCTCCGTTCTTGGGCGTGGCCAGGTTGTGCTTGACACCCATGAGGTTAATGGCTTCCGCCCGAGCCTCCTCTGTCTGAGGAACGTGTAGATTCATTTCATCCCCATCGAAGTCCGCGTTGTAAGGACTGCAGACACACTCATTCAGACGGAAAGTTCGCCAGGGCCTGACTTTCACTAAATGACTCATAATACTGAGCTTGTGAAGTGATGGTTGTCTGTTGAACAGGACAATGTCATTATCCTCCAAGTGACGCTCGACCACATCTCCAACCTTTAGGTCACGAGCAACTTGTGTCCGGTTGACAAACTTCAACGAGAGCTTGTACCCATCGTCCTTTTTGATCACCATCTGAGCACCCGGCCATTCGCTTGGACCATTCTGGACACACTTTCTGAGCTTCTCAATATTGTAGTCGGAGACACGCTCGGGGTATGTGAGATTCTTCGCAACTAGAACGGGAACAGCCACTTGGTTGATGCCGAGATTTGGGTCTGGAGAGATGACCGTACGCCCGGAGAAGTCGACTCGTTTGCCCGAAAGATTTCCTCGGAAGCGGCCTTGTTTTCCCTTGAGTCGCTGGCAAAAGCCACGGACCGTCTTGCCGAAACCGGGCTGCTGGAGGCCAGGTACGTCACTATTGACATACATAGCAATCTGCAGCTGGAGGTATTCCCACTGCTCCATGATGGTCTGGACGGGATTGCCTTTCTGGAGAGCTGACCGTATCATACCGCTGATCCAAACGATGTCGGCAAGCTTCGTTGTTAGATCGTCCTCAGTGCTCGCATTGTCTTGGGCGACTGACGGCCGGATACAAACGGGAGGAGCCGGTAGGAACTGCCATATGAACATTTCGGGTCGGCCCTCAACAGGGTCAAGGCCCAGCAGCTCGCAGTCTGTGGAACTGATCATTTTAAACAGGTTGAGAACCCTGAGCGGATTCAGGTCTTCCATAGCTTTGCGGAGGTGCTTGTCCAAGTCAGGGTTGTGCTTCCTGGCTTCATTGAAAGATTCGTCAAAGATAAGCTTGCTCTCCGGCGGGATTTTCTTAGCTGCTGTCGATTTGTTGAACGCCACGAACTTGTCATGGACGAGCTTGAGAACCCCTACTTTCCGAATCTGGCCATTGATGGAGCCACAGTAGTGACAAGTCTTGGTTTTGCGACATTGGTCGTTGATTTTCTTGCAAATATTTGTCCTGCGAAGATTGTCAATGAAGGGACGTCTCATTTCCTTCAGGAATGAGCGACGTTCTGTCTCGGTGAGCAGGATATGCCCGCAGTCCTGGATATTAAAGCCCATTAGACAGGTCAATGGCACGCGAGAAGAGAAGGCCTTACTTTGCATATATTCTGCAATATTGTTTTGACAAAGCCCAAGTAGCCAATATGAAATGCAGGTAGAGGAAGCCTGACGTGTCCAAAGTGGCCGGTACAGTTCTGGAGGGATTCCTGACATGTCATGCACCTGCCTGTTTTGCTGGAGGTTCCCTGTGCATCCAACCCAGTTGTCAGCAATGTTGCACTTCATGACCGGAGGTAGCCAAGGCCGTTGACTAACCAAGCGCGGGTCTAGTGGTCCATGATGATAAGGCGCCCTGTTATTTTCAATATCATAAAGAAGACGGTCGGATACTTCAAGTACGGCCTGGTTCGCAATGTCTTGGCTGGACCTGAGATGAGAGATGATCATTAGCACCTTATTTCTATTTGTAAACAGAGGAACTGCAAGTCTTACTGGATACCGAACTTGAGACCCTGAAAGCGCTTCGGTAGTCTGTCCGTCAACTGAGCCTTAACGGGGGTGATCGTAGTCGTCGCCATGGTAGTGGCCTATTCCTGGATACAGGGACGTCGCAGATTGGGAGGATTCGACAGGTCGAGACCAGATAGCTCGATATCACTCGCGACGGGATAGACGAAACCTGTACGCATGTTATTTCTCTCGCTGTCGCGTTATTCTGGCATTGAGCGATGCATATGAACCGGCTGTACAAGCAAACTGCGTCAAAGCATGCCGGGTGGACTTGTTGCTTGTTAGTAGGAAATTTGGTTCAATAGTGGGGGTTGGAGACTTCCAGTGAACTCATGCCACACCCCACTTTGTGACAGGGAATTGGAATGTATCAGATGCCCACAGCCACCTTATCGAGGTGTGATAAACCATATTTATTATTATTATACTATTATTATCGATCTTACTCCGCTATCCTAACTAATCTATAGGAGCCTTCCTAGGCTATACGGTCCTTCTCGGGTGGCTATAGAGGGGAAAACCCGGGTAAAACCCGGGGAAAACCTCTATACACTTCCTTAGGTGGAGAGGTACCGCTACGGGGCCGATATAGCCCCGGTTCTTCCCTATTACGTATCTAGATCTTACCTCTAGGCTAATGGCTAATAGGAAGTATAGCAGGCTAATAGTTAGGTAAGTTAGCCTAAGCTAATCTTTATCGGTAAAGCGGGGGGCTAAGGGGGCGTTACCGCGTTTCCGCTATATAGCGCTACGGCTTTTTAGCCTTAGTCTCCTTATATCCCTCGAGGATTATGCCTTTTATTCCTTCTATTCGGTTAATAAAAAGAGTAAGGAGGTAGGCGCCTCCTACCTCCCTTAGGTAGGTTCCTGCTATATCCGGTGATAGGTAAGGAAAAGGCCTTACCCTATTATAAGGATTAGATAGTTAATATCCCCTAAGGCCTTTATACCTTAAACCTCCCTCTTGCTCCTATAACACTAACGAGTTTATTATAGGTTTTCCTCTAAATCTATTCCCGCTTATAGTCCTATAGGTTTATCGTTATAGCTTATACTAACTAGTAAACTCCTTTAGTTATCCTTCTTACTACTCTTTTAGGGGGACCCACGTTTTACGCGTAAACGCTCTAAACCACTTAAAAGCTATATTAATCGATAGCTCCTTTCGAGCTCTATACGTCTATCTATGGCCCTGTATCGCGTAGGTGCTATTTAGGGCGTAAAATAAGTGCGAAAAGGCCTGGAAACGTACCTATAGGTGCCCCGCGTGCGGGGGAAAAGTCTAACGTGGCCCGTGCGCCCACGCTAATAAAGCAGCCACGCAGAGCCGTAACCACTAACGCCTCGCGACCCTAGCACCCTATAAAAGACCCCAGCCATAATAATAGCTATAGCACTAGCCATAATAACGCCCTAACCCACTATAACGCCCCCGGAACTAACCCTGAGCCCCCTATAAATATAGAGGGCTTAGGGGAGGTAGAAATAGGGGAAACCCCTTAAAGCCCTATAAATACAGGGACTTCTACCTGTATTACGCCCCTTAATTCGAAAAGGCAGCTTAGCCCTTCGACCCTAACCCCTAGAAGGTTTTCTAGGACCTGAACCGAGCCCCCCTCCGACTCTAAGGCCGAAGGCCTCTTCGAAACGCCCTCTAGGCCCCCCCCTGCTAAAAAACAGGGCCTTATAGGCTCTCAATAGGCTAAAAAGACCCCTAGAACTACTGGAAACCCCTTTACTATGCCCTAGAAGTCGACTAGTTCGGCTAGTAAGGCCCAGGCTAGGGGGCTTCTCCAGTAGGCTTTTCAGCTACTCTAATAGGCCTACGACCTTAACCCTATCCCCTAGATTAAAGCCCTATCTACAGGACTTAAATCTGCTATCGACGGAACTCTATAAGGCTTCTAGCCCCCTACACTCGAGCAGAAGGTCTATAAACTAGCCTAAGTAGTTCGTAGGCTTACAGAATAGCCTAAACCCCTTTATAGCGAAGCTTTAAAGGGAAGAACAGGCTCTATAGCACCCTAGGCCCCCTAAAGGGCCTCGGCACCTTTAGCCCCCCCGGCTCCCTCCCTATAGACCCTAAAAGAGTCCCTAAGGTTATTTTACAGCCTACGGCAGGGGAAACGATCTCTAAGGAGAACTTTAATTCCCTTATACTCCGGAACAGGCTAAATAAGGCCCTACAAATCCCTGCTATTACGGCTATTAGCCCTTTAGCTCATAGGAATCTTATTTTAACCCCGGGCCCGAAATACAGTATCTAGTAGCTCCTAGACTCGTAGAATCAGTGGTTTAAGGAGCTAAACCTCCCTCTTCAGCCCTCCTAACCTATAGGCGACTGGTTTAAGCTTATTATTAAACGGGTGCCGACTTATTAAGAAGGAGATATAGGTCTACCCCGAAGGGACAAGGACCAGAGGGTGATAGGGAGTAACAGACAAGGATCGTAGTCTTATATAAGGGGAGGCCAACTATAGGTCAACTAGTGGTTAATAGGAAGAGTATCTTAAAGGTAGATGGTAGTGTAGAGGAGAGATAATCGCTAACTCCTTCCTTCCGGAATAATCTAGCTCTCCGTCTTATATAATAAATATCCACTCATCAGTTAGCCGGTAGTCCACTACTATATCCTAGTACCTCCTAAGTCTTCCTTATATCCTACACCTAATAGGCTACCCCTTCTTGGAATAAGGCCTATCCTTAGGCTATAGCTAGTTATGGAGTATCCGTAGGGTGGGTAGTGGTTATCGGGTAAGGCGAGTGGGTTAATAGTACTATCGGTAATACGTGGGTCGGAGCTTAAAGAAAATAAAGCCGTAGGCAATCCACCGTTAAGTAACGGTGGAGCCAAAGGCTCAAAATATATCCTAACCTTAAACAGTGGTACTAAAGGATATTTTTAGGGGAGGAGAATAAAGAGAAAGTTCCTTACGAAGTATACTATTTTAGGCATATATAAGGGCGTGGAAAGAACTACTATAGGTAGCCAACCGTTCATAGACGGTAGTTTATAGAGGTTTATTATAAACAATAAGTCTATAAGGGATATATTCTTATATAATAACAGGTATAAAATAAAAGTTTAAAGCAGCTGTTTGCCCACTATTAGATAGTAGCAGTATTATCAAACGCGTTTATTAAACGCGTTCGTATTATTTATTCCGTGAATAGGGAAGTGCGTCACCGGTAATAAAGGCGCGCCTACCCTTCTATATGTAAATAGGACAACGGTAGGCAGGATAAGTGGGGCCTCCGTAATTATATAAAGGATCTTTTCGGCTATAAGCCTCTTTTTCTTTTCTTCTTCTTTTTTCCTCTTTAGGTTCCGGAAAGAGGTTATAAGTATCCCCCCCGTTCCTCCCTTAAGGAGGCTATAGGCAGTATTACTATACTAGAACTAAAGCAGAGAAGGGGGCAGTCTAGTAAAGGGGTAACGGGTAGTTAACGTGTATATAGTTTTTCTTTAGTATACTCTTATAATTTTTCTTTAGTATATATAGGTCTATTCTTCCGTTAGAATCTAAGTTCGAAGGAGAGTAATAGCTTAATAGCGGTTAGATAGAAACTAATATAGAATAGATTAATAGAGAAGATTTATAGTTATTAGAGTTAGGTGAAGATTTACCGAGCGTTATAAGTGTGTCTAGAGTTATAGTAGGACTATAGGTGATAGCTAATTAGCTATAGGATAACTATACCTTCGAAGGGTAGTTATAGTAACGGTGCGGTAAAGACTCCTAAAAAGCCTCGTCCTAAGAAAAGTAGTACCGCCGGCGGTTAACAGGGGATTAGCGGTAAGGGGTCCGGTACTTAGGGTACGGATATAAAGAATAATAATACCTCGGCGCCTCTAAGTCTAATTAGTGGAGAAATAGCTAGTAGTTAGCAGTAAACCGGCGATAAAGCTAGTAATAGGAATAATAATAGTCCCAGTAATTTAAATAATAGTTCTATAGCTGGAAATAATAGAACGATCGAATTAGATAAGAGTAGACTAGCTAGTATATCTCGGGTATACACTTTATATCCTCCCGCCGAATACGTATAATCCGTTTCTAGTTCTATACGTACGGTATGTCGGTCGAATAACGAAGTAGCACCCTAGTAGTAGTTAAATTCCCTTATACAGTTATAGAGATTATAAGTAAAGTGGTCGAGTAAGGGGTAATAGGTGATTAGTTACTAACTTAGTATAATAGCGGCCTCGCTTAAATATATATATTATATAGGATAGTGATGGAAACCCTATATAAAGGTATATTAGTTAGTGTATAGCTATTCCACTACTAATTAATTATAGATACTATATATATAGTTAGATAAATTCATACGTCTTCGTGACGTGATTCAATAACACTAGTATAAGGCAGATACGAGTCTAAAGGTATATACTGCCTACGTAGGGGAGGGGTAGGCGATTAATTTCACAGACTTTAACCGAATATCTAATAGGGACTCGCGGTTTATATTTTTCACCGACCGTTATAGTGGTTTTACGGCCACCTACGTTATAAAGAATAAGCTAGTAGTGGATATCCTCGTAATAAGTAAGGAATTCCTCGCCTAGGTAGCGCGTTAATTAGGCTATAAGGTACGCGTTTTCGAATCTAATAACGAGCTAACTTAATCCTACGATATCACTTAATTCCTGCGTGATAAGGGTATCCTTTTAGAGACATCTGCTGCTAACACTTAAGCATAGAACGGGGGTGCTGAACGCGCTGCTGCCGTGGTTATTTTAAAGGGTTATACGATAAATATCCACGTAAAACTACTACTATTTATATAGCCTAAGGCTATTCCCACGGTAGCATACGTCTATAACCGGACGCTACGAAGGCAGTATAATAATAAGGATTAGAAAACGCTATATAAGGTCCTCTTTAGAAGGAAGCCGATTTTATTATATCTTTAAGCTTACGGCTATAAGGCGTACGCGATAATAAAGGACGCCTAAAAGGGCGTGAATAAACTATTAAAGCGTATCGCTCCCCGCGCCTATATCGGCTACCTCGTCGGCTACGAGTCCACTAATATCTTCCGTATCTAGGTACTAGGCCGGCGCCACTACCGCGTTATTCGCACGCGTAATATAGATTTTAATAAACGTGCCTTTTTCAACGGCGATATTAACGCCTTTAAGGACGACCTCCGTTAATTAACCGAGGAGTAATTAGAAGACCTAATTAGTTAGATCGAGTAGGAGAGGGCTAAAGATTCACGGCCGTTTACGGACGTATAAGCTAAGGACGCCCTCCCTTTA